AATCTTTTGACTTAAAATTTGCACTAAATATCCATTTTAACAAGTAAAATATGTTCCCAAAATTGTTTTTATTCACAAATAAGGATAAAAAAAGTGGACAATAAAAAAAAACACTTTTCAGTTTTCTTAATGACTCAGAAAATACATTTTCCAATAAAACTGATGGTCACTATGTTATTACACCAAGAAATAATAATCACATTTATGAATTAATTTGTGAAAAATGGCTATATTTTATTATTCACACTTTAGAAGAGCACATTCACAGCTTATAATGATAGAAAATAGAAATAATAGTCCTAAGGTACTCAAAATGATCAAGAAATGTGTGAATAACATATAAAACCTTTACAACTGTCAGTTTCTATTCAATAAGGGACAACTTTTATGAATGGTTTTAAAAGGATAATGTATTTGTGGAGTACTTATTGAACACAAAATATGTCCCAATAACAACGGTAGAACTTTTAAAATCATGTGTCATTAATACAAATCTTGACAGAGGTCCTTGAATTGAAGATAATCTATCTTCTTAAACAGGAAAGTAGCATATTGAACAATGGTATAAACATACAGAGTCAACTGCAGTTCACATATTTTCAATTGCAGTGATCCTCACTATATATTGGAACTTTAGTTTTGTTTTTATTGGAAAAGATTAACAGTTTCAGTACACAAACAACAAAAACCCCAATCCTATTAGAATTTTATCTCTAAAATCTCCAGTGATCAAAACCATGCACTTGCCATTTACATTTTGGATTTTATTGAAAGCGGCATTGATCAATATATAATACATTCATATAATATAAATAAAAACTTGTTAACACATGTATGGTTCTAGTTGTAAAACATGTGTTTACACTGCTGCTATGTCTGTGGTGACTGAGAAACAATGTAATATAAAATAGCCATTTCAAGCAAAATACTATTTCAATTTTTTTATTTTTTTTTTTTCAAAATAGGCATTGATTGGTACTCAATTATCTAGAAATATACATAAAATAAAGAAAAAAAAACTGTATACATTATAAAAAGAATCAGTTAAAATTAATTAAATTTTTTTTATAATTAAAAATGCTCCGCTGGGCGCAGCTTGATACGACTGCAGAGGTCGAACCCTGAACTGTTGGGGCAAGTATGGACACAACATTCAAGCTTGATACAGCACTGAATTTGGATTGTGATTAAATATTTGACACAGCATAGGTTTCTGACACAGAATGAATGTGGTCTAAGAACTTAAATATTAACTATATAAATCTTACATTGTCTCCTATTTCTAAGCATTCTGGGTTTTGCATGTTTTGAAATGTAATCATATTGAATTACCATGTTGAGGGAGATTTCTGAGCATAAAGAGATCTATTGAAAAATATTTAAAATCTTTTGACTTAAAATTTGCACTAAATATCCATTTCAACAAGTAAAATATGTTCCCAAAATTGTTTTTATTCACAAATAAGGATAAAAAGAGTGGACAATAAAAAAAAAACACTTTTCAGTTTTCTTAATGACTCAGAAAATACATTTTCCAATAAAACTGATGGTCACTATGTTATTATACCAAGAAATAATAATCACATTTAAGAATTAATTTGTGATAAATGGCTATATTTAATTATTCACACTTTAGAAGAGCACATTCACAGCTTATAATGATAGAAAATAGAAATAATAGTCCTAAGGTACTCAAAATGATCAAGAAATGTGTGAATAACATATAAAACCTTTACAACTGTCAGTTTCTATTCAATAAGGGACAACTTTTATGAATGGTTTTAAAAGGATAATGTATTTGTGGAGTACTTATTGAACACAAAATATGTCCCAATAACAACGGTAGAACTTTTAAAATCCTGTGTCATTAATACAAATCTTGACAGAGGTCCTTGAATTGAAGATAATCTATCTTCTTAAACAGGAAAGTAGCATATTGAACAATGGTATAAACATACAGAGTCAACTGCAGTTCACATATTTTCAATTGCAGTGATCCTCACTATATATTGGAACTTTAGTTTTGTTTTTATTGGAAAAGATTAACAGTTTCAGTAAACAAACAACAAACCCCCAAATCCTATTAGAATTTTATCTCTAAAATCTCAAACGATCAAAGCCATGCACTTGCCATTTACATTTTGGATTTTATTGAAAGCGGCATTGATCAATATATAATACATTCATATAATATAAATAAAAACTTGTTAACACATGTATGGTTCTAGTTGTAAAACATGTGTTTACACTGCTGCTATGTCTGTGGTGACTGAGAAACAATGTAATATAAAATAGCCTTTTCAAGCAAAATACTATTTTATCATTTTTTTTTTTTTTTTTCAAAATAGGCATTGATTGGTACTCAATTATCTAGAAATATACATAAAATAAAGGAGAAAAAAACTGTATACATTATAAAAAGAATCAGTTAAAATTAATTAAATTTAGTTTAAAAAAAAAAGGTAAAAAAAATTAATATTCTCCAAAAACAAGTAGAAGTATTCCTGGTAAGATAAATAAAAAATATGCCAGTTATCTTTGAGGGTTCAGTGTTATATATGTTAGTATGTAACAAAAAAATTATCACTCAACTGGACCTCTAGTTAATGTGCTATTGCTCACTAATGACATCCTGTTTTTAGAATTCGGTAAACAGGAAGTTGAAGAGAAAAGATTCTGAAAACGCATTAAACGGTAAAGCATGTTCACACCAAGCCAGATAACAAATTTCAGGAAGCTCTTATCTGTAGTTCCCTAGATAATTGGAACGAAAATGTCATACATTGACTGTATGTTTTAGAATATATAAGTATTTGGTAAACTGGAAGTTGATGAACAATTAATCTGAAACCGTGTCACATAGTATTGCATGCTGACATGAAGCCTGATAACAAATCTCAGAAAGCCATTATTTGTAGTTTTCTAGTAAAATTTTACCGAAATTTCATACATGTCCATAATGTTTTTAAAACATATAAGTATTTTGTAAACAGGAGGTTGATCAATAATGAATCTGAAACCATGTCACACAGTATAGCATGCTGACATTAAGTCTGAGAACATATTTCAGGAAAGCTTTTAGTTGTAGTTCCCCTGAAAAATTCGACAAAAAGTTCATACATGTTCATTATGTTTCGAATATATAGGTATTTGGTAACAGGAAGTTGATTAACCATCTGAAACTGCTTACACAGTATAGCATCTTCTCGTGAAGCCTGATAAAAGATTTCAGGAAACTGATTCTTAGTTCCTGAGAAAAATGCAACTGACGACAGACAAGGGTAAAACAGTATACCAAAAAACAGTATTACCCCCCCTCTCCCCCCTTTCCTTCGGAGGGTATGCAAAATATACAGGCTTCTACTCTGATTTAGATGGTAACTGTTCTATTTTATTTCTTCATTCCAAACTTATTCAGATAGCAGGGTCGACACATACCAGATCATGTAGATACTATGTTGTTTTTGGTTGAAATTGGTGAAAATCCAAATATCAATTTGTTGTTGTCTTGTATAGTTTTTAATAAGGATGAGTTTTATCTCACACAGATTTTGTATTGATCAGTGTTGTTAGTTTGTATTTCTTTCTCAGTAAAAACATGTCATTCTTGTTTTGTTCTTTTCATTTCTGAAATTCCTTTTAAGGATAATTCTTTGTAAATCTTTTCAATGTCTTCAAATCAACCACTAGTCTCAAGCATAAAACAGGATTAAATTCACCTACAAGTGCTTAAAAATAACATTAAACTGTATATATATCACCTACAGGTAAGAAAGGGATATTATCTTAATAATTGTATTATTTCGCTTATCAAAACATCACATAAAATTTAATCTGATAAACCTTAAACATCAAATACAGGAATGAAAATCCTGCGGACAATTAAAAATATATTTTGAATTTAATAAAAATATTTAAACTATAAAATTTAATGGACATCTCTAATCTTGTTTACATAATTTCTTTGAAGCTTTATTTTGGTGAAAATAATCTTTGAAGGTTTGCCAGTTTATCACAATTGTATGTTTGACTTGTAAAGTATAAATATAAATAAAACTTCACCTGACTTCTAACCCAAAAAAATTCTTGAAGGTAAATGACATTTCATCTATAAGATGTTAAATACACCTACGTAAGACTGGCCTTAATTGCATGAATACATCCTTTAAGTGATCCAGAGAAAATTGAATCATTATCATTTTGAATAAAAAAAAAGTTTTGAAAAAGTGTCCTTGAATACGGAATTTTAAAAGTTAATAAGCATTTTTGGTAGCGCATAAAATATAGCATATAAAATAGAAATTTTGTTTATTTAACTCAATACAATGGAGAAAAAAAAAGAATTTTAACATCGAAACAATTACTATATATGCAAACACACAACACACTGACCATATGAAATAGCCTTTTCCCTATTTTCGATATAGGCTATTGATCTGGATATCATGAAATACTTGCCACTGGTCATGTTAAACCATCAATCAACCTTTACCTATGATGAGATGCTGGGAAGTTAGCATGTATGAAAGTTTACGCTGCTTGCCTGAACAAAATTAATAAAGTTTGATACTGCAATTAAAATTACGAATGGAAAAGGGGAATGTGTCAAAGAGACAAAAACCAGACCAAAGAGCAGAAAACAGCCCAAAGCCACCAATGGGTCTTCAACACAGCAAGAAAATACCGCACCCAAAGGTGGGCTTCAGCTAGCCCCTAAACAAAAATGTATACTAGTTCAGCAAAAAAGAGCGTCGCACTAAACTGTGAAACAAATAAATTATTAAAATTAACCAAAATTAAAATCAACATACAAGACTAACAAAGGCTAGAGGTTCCTGACTTGGGACAGTTGCAAAAATGCGGCTGGGTTCAACATGTTTTGTGAGATCACTTGCCAGCATAAAATTAAAAGCAGTATAGTAGTCATTAATGTCTTATACAAGATCATCTGAATTATGTCAAATCTATAATGCACTACAAGAATAAGCCACGTTACTTACAGTCACTCAAACTTCTTGTCATATCAGCACATACAGATGATAAAAAATCTTCTCTTATCTGAAAAATAAATTAAAAAAATGTTCCAAGAAAACCAAGTTGTTTTGGTGTATGACTTCCATATGCAGAATTAATAAACATTACTTGAAGCAGTCAACTCTGGTTTACAATGTCTTTCTCTCCCCCTTTCTCTTTTAATGTCCTTTTCTCATTTTTTTTTTTAATTTGTTCATATTGATTAGTTCCAGGCTCAATGTAAATATTCCGTATTTCTTGGAAACAACTATTAAAATGTGAAGATAGGTTTGGAATATTTGATGCATGAATATCTAGCTTTTTAGATTTAAGGGCAGATGACTGAACTAGCTTAACATTTAGAGACCACCTCTGAGTGTTCTAGGATCACAGAAAACTGAAATTTTGTCACCATTTGTGTGCATTTAACAAGTTGTCATAAGTGACTTCTCATTTGTTCACTATTCACATGTGATATTTGTCAGCTCCTGCAAATGTCATAAACGGACACATTACAGAAGTATGGTGATGAATTCTAGTGTTGAGAATCAATAATTTAGCAGGGAACAATTGACTGGGTTAAAGGTGGAGTTGATCCAACATTGATTAATTCGGTGATTGACATGAGTACAATTAGCCTAGAATTACAGCAAGGGATACGACAATTGGTAATCATTATTTTAAATTTTAAAAATCAATTTAACAAATAGAAGTTTAAAATTGTATAATGGGCACCGTGTGTCAACACAGACATTTTATTATCTTTCTATTTAACATAGCTTGACCCTGAACAGATCTAGATTGGTTTGTTCAGCGGGATCTGTCTTAATTGTGGCCCTGCTTTCAATTGCCACTTTCTAACAACTCCTGATTATATCACTGAGATTATGGTCTTAAAAACTTAATTAAACTCCATTTAAACTGATATAGGTGTTGCAAGTCACAAAATTTTAAAAGCAAAATTACTATATTCTAGATGGACCAAACAACTTTTAATAACAGAGTGAAATGGCCCTGGAAAAAAGGGAATTCCACGTCTTATTTTATTCTTTTGTGATGTTTCATAATAATTTTCAAAAGAAGGGAATTCCAATACCGTCAATGGTTTAAACCTCAAGCTGGCTTTACCAAAATGTATTTTCTAGGTACCAAAATTAAAATGAAGGAATATTCATTAAAATTCAGTCAGACAACAACCCAATACAAGATAAGTTTTCATTTTAAATATTAGATACACCTTGAGGGCATATTTAGCCCAAATGGGTGTATCTAATTTACACCAAGATATTATTGTCAATGCAGAATGAAAGTTTTCAATAATTTAGGGGGTTCTTTCAGTGATTTGACCATATATTATTGTAAAGCATGATAAATGCAGGGTATCCAATTTCATTTAACGACATCTTGGTGTAAATCTATTCACAGACTGCAGGATACTGTCTTTAAAACTATCTTATCATCAGAGATTAGTAATTTTCAAAAGTCTAAGTATACCAATATAAATATTTAACTCTTATTGATAAAGGTTCTGCATAACATGGGTTTATAAGCAACCAAAATAAATATATATATATATATATATAAAGTGCCTAGAAAATCAACCTAACGATGTTAGAGTAGATCTGTTTCTTTTACTTCCTCCCCGAGCAGGGCTGGAACCTGTACTTTTTATTTCTAACTTCTACAACAACACTGCCTAGCATTGCGCAGACACCTTATCCCCTCCTCTAACTATAGCTGATCAGCTTTGGTTTCGGGAGGTGTTACCTTCTCGTAGGAATTAAACAAGGATATCTGATACAATATATATGTAGGACTCTAAAGTGCGATGGTACTCTAAAGTGCGATGGTCACGCTAAAGTGTGATGGTCTACGCTAAAGTACGATGGTGAATCACGCTAAAGTGCGATGGTTGTTTGTTTGCTAAAGTATGATGGTATGTCACGCTAAAGTGCGATGGATCAATAGGATAAGGTTCGAGGGTTTAAAACGTTAAAGTACATGGATGTTAAAAAATAGTTTTTTTTCACAGGTATAACATATGTGACAGGCTTTAATTTATAATTTACCGGTAAGCTGAAGTGATTGTTTCTAAATTTAGAAGACCGACTACGTAATAATTGCTAAAAAGGTAATTTAGGTGTCACAAAACACTATATTTCCTGTAAATGATTTTTTAACAATTCGGGCGTATTAAACATGTTAAATACTTGGATAATTGGTGTAGGTTGCCGTTCACACAGTCTATCAATAATCTGAACACCTCCCCTTACAGTTGTCTTTGTAAATTACAAATACAAAATTCGATCATTGTCGGAATATCAGTAACATTTATTTGATTAAGCTTTAATTTGAATGCGAGCAAAAGGCGAAATTCGCCGAGCTTTCTCCTTTTTTGTAGCGAATACACATACATGTTATATTTTCCTACAATGTACAAACTATGTTTTAGACGACAGTTTATAATTTACGCTTGAAAACATGTACCTTTATTTTACCGATGTAACTTTTCAATAAAATCGATAATATTTTAACGGGGACTGCAAAGTAAACTGCAACGTAAACAATGATTTTATCAAATGTATCCGTTCACTTCCAATAGAAGCAGGATACAGGATACCTATGCGTATACTATTTTGTATCTATATAGTAAAATTGTCAACTGCAGGACACAAGTCCTTCTTCCAGCACCCGAAAAAAACAACACACATTTGTTTCAGCCGACAAAGCACGGTTAGGTCTGAAATTAAGTCATGGACATTTGATTTAAAAGTTGTTAATCAAATATTCTAAATTTATCTTCCGGCATATTCATTTTTGGTTTGTATAAACGCATTTGTTTCAGCCGACAAAGCACGGTTAGGTCTGAAATTAAGTCATGGACATTTGATTTAAAAGTTGTTAATCAAATATTCTAAATTTATCTTCCGGCATATTCATTTTTGGTTTGTATAAACGACCTGTTAACGTCATAATCCAACTACGTTTCTTACGTCTATACTTTTGCGGACCATCGGACTTTAGCATTTGTACAATCTTCATGATGATAAATGAATTAAAATTTCTTGTCGCTAGCAAAGCAAGAACTTACTGTATATCTATATAAGGATATTTATCCAAAGTCATTTATTCACACCGTAATAAGGCAACAAAGGAATTGGTCAAGAATTTATCCTAAAACTCCTTTCTCCAAATAATCACAAATAATCCGAGACTGTCAACAACTATACTTGTTCCTGAGCAATATAAATCCTTCTGTGATATTTAGACTAGATAACTACTCGTCCTAATAAACAAACACATATAACCATGCCTTATTTTACCACAGAAAATCAAATCAGGCAATCCCATTACATGAAAAATTGTAAAAGGTTTGACTATGACAATTTAAAATGTATGAATATGTACTTCCCACGACTTTTTATACATTGTATTCTCTTAAATCAGAACAATGTTATAAATGACTTCATTTCATTTAAGTTTGTTTGTAAATAAAGACAATACACATAAAAAATTGCCCTTTATACCAATAAATGACTTTCAATTTAATCGTAAAAGTGCATCAATCTAAATTACATGTATTTTATTTTAAAACACGTAAATATGTCATTTGTCATTTCAATATGTATCATGTATTGTTTTACTGAGACTACTTGGACAGACACACTGGTCTGCATAAAAAGATATTTACAATTTGGCTTTTACATCATTTTCTAACCTAAATTACAGGTTTGAAAGTTACAATCGTGTGTGAATGATAATTGGTACTTAGCTTAAGCTGCAAATATTTAGTGTTGGACAATAACAAATCTACAGTACAATCATTGCCTTTGTTTTATAATGAACTACCAACTTAGATTAATATCTGTGTCACATTTACAATAAAAGATCAATTTCAAGGCAAACCTATATAAAAACAAGAAATGATTGTAACAGGATGCTGTTACGAAGTCTCCCAAACGAAGCTCCCATGATTCGTCATTCCCAGGGTCGCCTGACATTGAGCTAAGTCCAGTGAAAATTGGTTTGGTCCAGTAAAGTTATATGTATTAGTGATGCCTGGGGACTGACCCTGTATATCATTCAAATCATCTTGGTATGACAAACCAGAATATATATGGTTTAGGGGTGGGGATCTCGACCATTTACAAATATTAGAACATTGGGGGTGGGGGAAACCCAGGGGACTAACCCTATATGTCATTCAAATATTCGAGACATGACGAACAGGAATATATATGGTTTAGGGGTGGGGATCTCGACCATTTACAAGATATTAGAACATTGGGGGTGGGGAAAACCCCTGGGGACTGACCCTGTATGTCATTCAAATGTTGAAACATGACGAATAGGAATATATATGGTTGAGGGGTGGGGATCTCGACCATTTACAAGATATTAGAACATTGGGGGTGAGGGGAACCCCTGGAGACAGACCCTATGCGTCATTCACATGTTCGAGACATGACAAACAGGAATATATATGGTTTAGGGGTGGGGATCTTGACCATTTATAAGATTTTAGAACTTTCTCAAATGGCAGGGGGTCAGGATGACCCCTGGAGACTAAACCTGTATATCATTCAAGCCATCTTCGCATGACAAACTAGAATATATATGGTTTAGGGGTGGGGATCTTGACCACTTACAAGATATTAGAACTTTCTTAAATGGAAGGGGTGGGGGAGACCCCTGGGGACTAATACTTTACTTCATTTAATGTGCTGTATCATGACTAACCAGAATATATATGGTTTAGGGGTGGGGATCTCGACAACTTACAAGATATTAGAACTTTCTCAAATGGCAGGTGGTGGGGGTGACCCCTTGGGACTTACCCTTTATTTCATTTGATGTGCTTTATCATGACAAACCAGAATATATATGGTTTAGGGGTGGGGATCTTGACCACTTACAAGATATTAGAACTTTGTCAAATGGCAGGGGGTGGGGGCGACCCCTGGGGACTAACCCTTTAATTCATTTGATGTGTTTTATCATGTAGAACATTTACAATTATAAAGAATGTGTCTATCACTAACAGT